TGCTCATATCTTGTCCCTGTCCCTTGTCAGTTTTACTTTATCTTAATATGTTCCATTCTTTCTTGTTCTGCAAATGTGTATTTTTGTATTGCTTAAAAAGACTGAGAAAAAAAACAAAGAAGTTGTCAGCTGCTGCACTAAAATTCATTCAAATCAACCACTGACAACATGAAAGTCAAAAAAATACATAGACACATTTTAATACAAATATACAAGAACATTTGAATTGCAAAACTTTCATATTTTCAATACAAAACACTACAGTATAGCAGAGATAGTAGTTAGATATTTCTTTGCTTCATGTGGCATAGCTATCATTTATACAATTAATTTAAGTGGAATGACCAAATGCACTATTATGACGGCTGACGTCTGCATAATGTTGCTACTCTGGATGTAGTAAGCTGAAGTTCAGTGCCGAAGCCTGTCAGGAGAGCAGCACTCTGTTGTCTTTGGCCCACTTCCTCAAAGCTCGGATGATGTATTCAACCTGCGGGTTTCCTGAATTTCGCAGCAGGGACACCACCTCTTTAAGTGTCTCCCTAGAACACAAACAGGATATGTCAGGAAACAAGATTAGATCAGGAATGCCATCTCTCATGTTTCTTTTATTTAGCGATCACACCCACTCGAGCAGACCCCAGAAGTTTGATATGCGAGTCCAGATCTTATTCAATTTTACTTGATCATGACAGGGACTACTATGACGAATGTTTTGCAACAACAACAAAAAAAAATAGGAAAACACTGTTAAACGAGTAATGATAAAATCAAGACCACCATTATTGCACAGGAAAAAGAGGCAAACATACTTGGACTCCTTGTTCGCCAGTATGAGCTGGAAGATGCCGACACACGCCCCTCTCTTGCCTTCCCAGTAGTTGGAGCCTGGGTCCAGTTTCTCCAGTGCGTCAAAGGCTTTGGCTGCATAGTAGAACTGGCCCATCTGAAAAAACAGGCTGGGCTCATGAGCACTAGCAGGCAATATTGACATCCCAATAAGGCCAAATGGTTAGAGAAAAATATCACAAAAACAGGCAGGCAGAGAATTAAGTGTGATATTTCTCCACTAAGGTGTCGAATTAGAATCAGGTTTATATATACACACAATTGATATATTTGAGTTCAGGAAATGGGTATGCCTTAGAATTTTGTAGCGCAGGAATAAACAACACATACTTACACATACACGACAATAAATGACCATATTTTAACAAAGAAACAGCCAGATGAAGAAATTGGTGCAATTGTACTTAAATAGAGTTAGTCGAGTGACAGATAATAATCTGCAACTATTTTGACAATCGTTTGAGTCACTTCTAAAGCGAAAGTCTGACGGTGCCAGCTTCTTAGATCGGAGCGTACTGTTGGTTGGACACACAAGACATCTGAAGGTGTCACCTTGGACTTTGTATAATAATCAAGAAAATTATCTGTATAATAGATGTAATCATCAGTTACAGCCTGATACTTAAATTCAGAGGAAAATAACAAATAAACATTGATACTATGGCTGCAATTTAGGACTATTTAATATTTATTCATCTATTATTTTTCAATGAATCATTTTTTAAACAAATTGTGAAAAATGTAAATCACTTCCCAGAACTCATGGTGACAAATTTTGTCTGACCACGGGTCCAAAACTGAAAGACATTCAATATGTAACAATATGAAACAGTGAAACTCACATTAGAGAAGCAGAGAATGTGGTGCCTGATTCTTGACTTAAACAGTGAATTTATTATCAAAATGATTGGCGATTAATTGACTTAATTGTTTCAGCAATAATTCATACATTTCCAATTTAAGCAGTCACCGCAGATGATACAGAAGATGATGTCACCTTATAGCAATCATTGGCAATGAGCTGCAGCAGAGTGAAGGAATCAGAGGAAGTGCCCATCTTCAGATAGAGCTCCCAGGCAAGCCGACCCTTTTGGTTCATTATGTCTGACAAGAACAAGACAAGTGTTCAATGATCCATCATTCACAGGCAGTCTCAGCAACTTTATAGGTTCTGATTTGGGATATATGAAACGCCTGTGGGCAGGTTTAATTGATATGGATTAAGCCGAGAAAGGATGGAGATATCCATTTCTTAGAGCTGTTGAGCGTGACACCAGCAAGAGTGCAAGGGTGACCCTAAATTCTAGAGGCCAGAAATCTGAATTGTGCTATTTGACTGAATCTTCTTGCAGAAAGATTCTTGTAGATAAATATGTTATCATCAGTACGACTTCTATACATACAGCATCGTGCCAGCCAGCTGAGGTACACATAGTCATTCTTGATCTTTTCACTCTGAATCAGCAGAAAAACCTGAAAGAAAGAATAAAATCAGTCCAGTCAACAACTTGTCAGAATTAATCAATGTCTGTAAAAAGCAGCTGTGCAGGCGTATGCTGAAGTAAGGTACCTCTTCTGCTTCTTTGTAGTTGCCGAGGGCTGCTTTAGCCTGAGCATAGTTGAAGTTGAACGTATCATCATTATAGAAGTAACCCTGCAAAAAGAAAGGCGCAGAAAGGTTAAGTATCCATACATCTAAACAAAAGTGCATCAAAGTGTGAACTGTTTGTCAGTAAGTGCACATAAACACAAACGTGAATAAATGCTCTGCATCTGTAAAGCACCACTTGTCATCTGAAGTGACACCTAACACCCAGTGTGTGGGAGGTTTTTTTTTCAACTCCCACTTACATACTGATACCACAATAAAAAAATACCACTGCGCCTCTTCGCAGGAATACACCGTATAATGCATGCCTTGTACTGAGAGAACACTAACCTTGACTGAGTTTAAATATATGAGAACATCTTCAAACTGTCTCAAGAGGAAGAAGCAGGAGGCCATGCACTGTCTGCCAGGAATAGTATCTGAAAGTGAAAAACATGTTACACACATGCTCACACAGTGTTGCTGTAAAAGATCATATTTATCAAATTTCTACTCAATGTACCGCATTCGCTGGCCGAGCCTCCGACCAACTGAAAGAACTGCTGAGCAATTTTCAGGTGATCCCTCTGAAACATAAAAGTGCAATAACAAATGTTTCTCGGACTCACTGTGAACAAATGTGTAAGTATTTATTGAACAGAAATACTCACTGATCCAATTTCCTGTCCCAATGCAGCATTTACCACTCCTTTCAAAATATACTCCTGGGAAAATAAAGGATCAACGTAAAAAAAACATTATAGGCTCCCTTGTCTAGAATTTAAAAAGGGAGAAAGGCAACGTTGACAGGAAACATGAAAAAACACACTTAAAAGCAATAATTCACTTGTGGGTAAAAGTGAAATACTTCTTTTAACAACTTTGTACCCATCATTTAATCTTTTTTTGCAAACGAGTAACAAGTAAAACAAATGCACAAAGAGGTAAAAAACCAAACACTTCACATGCTTTCAGATCGAAGCGACATCAAGGTGCTTT